ATAACTGCCTGTGTTTACTTGCATTTATCTATCTTCAGCAGTTACTATTTCAGATTACAGTGATGGGGAGAAAAAGCAAAATTTTATCCCTCCAGTTGATCTTCTAGCTTTGAGATAAAAACAGTAAATATTCATGTTATTTACAGTGTCAGAAACTGCTGTAGAAAACAATAAAGAATAAGTAGGATTGGGGCTACTTTATTTTACATGGTGGGGCTCATTATTTCATGGAGCAGATTTTGAAAAAAGACTTTTTTTTAAGAACATTTTATTTTATTTAAAAAGTTTTTTTAATTAATTTTTTTTATTAGCAAAACACCGTGAGGTACAGTTGTAGACTTACAAACTTTCGTACTTGGGTTTCCGCTATACAGTGATCGAGTGCCCATCCCTCCACCAGTGCCCATTCTCTACCACCAATGATCCCAGTAGCCCTCCCACCCGCACACCCCGTCCCCCCTACCCTACCCCACCTCTGCGGCAGGGCATTCCCTCTTGCTCACTCTTTCATTTCGGGTGTAGTAGTTTGCAATAGAGGTATTGGGTGGCTATCGCATTCGGTCTATAGTCCTACATTCAGCATGCATCTCGCATCCGGAACAAGTCCCCCAGACATCCTTTACTTGGAGTTCCCTTCGAAAAAAGACTTTCTTATGGTGATACTTCCTGTGTGAAACTCAAGGAAAGCCATGTGAATAAAAGGCTTTCTTTTGCTGATATAGCTTATAATTATGTCAGAGGTTGATTATTTTTCTCGACTTTTTGAAAGTACAGTTTGTCATCCTGTTTTTCTGGTACTTTGGAAAACTGTGCAGTATAACTTTTGAAAGGTAATGTTTAAAAGAGGAGCCACTGTCTTTTTTTTTCTGCTTTGCTGTTCTGTAATTTTATTACCACATGTCCATTTGGGTGGGATAGTGAGCATAAGGACTAGATGTTTTACCAACCTGAAGATTTAATTTTTAGTTTTGGAAGGTTCTCAGTCATCACTTAAGTTTGAACAGTGCCTCTCCATATTTCCTTCTAGAAATTTTCAGCTCATTTGCGAAAGAAAGGTGTATGCTTAAAAAATATAAAATTGTAAAAAATATAGTAATCAGATAATAATAAAAGTTGGTTTGGGAAATTATACAGGGCAAGGACTATTATTTGATGAGGGGTCCCTTCCCTAGCTGGAATAGTCAGAAATTTACTTTCTGATGGTTGACATTTCTTCAGGGTGTGCAGTGCATTTGGTGGCCGAGAACTGCTTCCCTGGTCTCCCCAGCAGAGGAACTAAGAGACAGAACCACAGAATGATGGTCAAAATGGCCCATTTAATGCAGAGCTTTTAGCATCCTTACAGAACTTCGGAGGGAGTTCAAGGTATAGGACTGCACATAGGTGTGTTTGATCATTCATTTACAGAGATAAACTATTTCAATGAATGCAGTTCTCTTAGGGGGATTAACTCAAGGAGACACTGTCTCTCAGGACTACATGGAGAGATTCACCCAGGGACAACAAGCATTATAATGCTTTTCTTTTCCCCTTTAATAGTATATATTAAACAATTAAGTTTATTTCTTACGAATACTTGCAGTTAGTTGGATAAACACAATAAGATATCACTATCATCACTGTCATCCTGTTGTTCATCGATGTACTAGAGTGGGTGCCAGTAATGTCTCCATTCGCCCCAGCCCTGAGATTTTAGCTGCCTCTCCTTACTCGTCTTTCCCAACACTGCCATATTGGAGGCTCTTTCAGGGTCAGGGGAATGTTATTGTTACTGTTTTTGGCGTATCGAATATACCACTGGAAGCCTGCCAGGCTCTCCCAAATAAGAGATATAGATCCCAAAATTTAGTTCTCTGGACTAAGGCTTTTGCTGTAAATCTCAGACTGTCCTCAGGTCAGTTCAGCTTGTCCTTACCCATGGTGGGTCTTGATCCTAAGTCATGTTGGCTTGCATCAAGACCCTGCTTTTATGGTTTTAGACTGTCCATTTTGATGCCAGGGTAGCTTTGCCACTCGCTCCCAGTCCATCCAAGTACCGTGACGGGACTCCCCTTTTGAGGTGTCAGAAACTGTGGCAACTGAAGCCAGTTAAGTAAAAATGGTGGATGCCCAGGAGTAGATATATTTCAGAGTCAGTCAACTCCCAGATATTAGGAGCACAGCATTAACTGTCTTTCTGTTTTAAGCAAAGAACATTGCTCTGTAGTAAAATATGAAAAGTTATAGGGGAGGGGCTGGAGCAATAGCACAGCGGGTAGGGCGTTTGCCTTGTACGCGGCTGACCCGGGTTCGATTCCCAGCATCCCATATGGTCCCCTGAGCACCGCCAGGAGTGATTCCTGAGTGCAGAGCCAGGAGTAACCCCTGAGCATCGCCGGGTGTGACCCAAAAAGCAAAAAAAATAAAAAAAAGTTATAGGGGAAATAGAAAAGCAGAGGAATTCACTACAAATGCAGAGTCCAGTCACCAGAAGTTTTGACTTGTAAGTAACCAAGACTGACTCGGGAATTGTGACAGTGAGAGGTAAAACACAAAGGAAAGGGTTAAAGATAAACTCAGGGAATTAGTGGTGCTTGTAAAAGCGCTGTCAGCTCACTGCGGGGAGGAATAGGGGCAGTTCAGGGATGAACCCTAAAACACTTAGGATCCCTTCCCTTAGTATGATAAATAGTCAGATATGAACTTTCTGATGGTTGACATCGTTCATAGCCCTGCAGGGTAAAGTGTAAAAACTGACACGAGAGTGAGTGGCAATTCCGGAACAGCAGTAAACCCCTTTGATAGTAGTAAAGTCAATCGAAAGGCTATTGGTAGGAGAGGACTTCAAAGAGGTTGCAGGGAATTTGATTATGTATGGTCCTACCGATAATTTTTTTTTTTCTGAATCACCATAAGTCGTTGTAAATGTTTGTAGAGTAGTAACCTAACTGACTGAAGATTGAAAACGCACTAACTACAGGGTACAGTCCTGGAGGCCTCAACACTGAAGAGCGTAGTCCTGGAGGCTTTCAGCCAGAAACAGGTGGTCTGGCAACGAAAGACCCACAAGTATCACATCTCAGGCCCTTAGGCTGGAATAGCCAGGAGAGGATCCGGGCTTCCTTCGGTACTTGGGAGACCCAGCCACACAGAGTGCCAAACAAACTAGAATATCGGGAAGGGGAAATGAATGAAAGCAGGAAAACCAATTAGAAGTTTCTATTAACCTAGTGAGTGAAAGGCATTTCCTTCCGGTTTCCTTTCTTCTCTTAACAGGAACATTTGCTGGTGTGCGTTGTGTGCTACGTACTGGGAACATATGATGCAACGTAAAATACATGATGGATTTTACCATCAAGGATAGATGAGATGAGAGCTTGGTTATTAAAAAAAATTGTATTGGAGAAGTAGTCTTGCTTTAGCAAATATGTTCTATGAATATTGGAAAGTCAGCGTAATCTTTATTAACATTTTGAATGTCATCTTTGTTTCTTGCATGTATTCATGTACTCTTTGGTTTCTTTGTTCATGTTTCCTGCCATTCCTATTTTTCTTTCCCAGTATTAGAATTTTTCTTAGGGCAGTTGCCTTGCATGTGGCCAACCCGACTGACGGACTCGGGTTCAATTCCTCCGCTCCTCTCGGAGAGCCTGGCAGTCTACCTACAGTATCTCCCCCGCACGGTGAAGCCTGGCAAGCTCCCCGTGACGTATTCCATATGCCAAACACAGTAACAACAAGTAACAACAATGGAGATGTTACTGGGCCCGCTTGAGCAAATCGATGAACAACGGGAGGACAGCGAAAGTGACAGTATCTATGTCTGTATCAAAATGCAGAGGTACAGACTATCGTAGGGTTATTAATACTGCAGTATTTATAGCAAATTTTCTTTTTACTTTTACTTTTCTTCCTGTGTGTGTATGTGTGCGTGTGCATGTGCATGTTTGTGTGTGTGTGTTTGGGTGGGGGGAAGGTGCAGTGCTCAGGACTTAACTCCTGACTCTTGAGTTCTGGCGGAGATTGGGGGACAGTATGTGGTGCCAGGAATTGAACATATATCCGCAGGGCTCAAGGCAAGCACTCGATCCACTGTACTTTCTCTCCAAACCCTGTTCATCTGTTCATTTCTTTTTTAAAAATAGATATTCTATATTTGGGAATGAATCATAACATTCTGTCTTCATTTTTTTATCCATACTCTTGATTTTATGCTTGTATATACCTTAAGGGAGTTTACATATTATCACATTTTCTTATATTTTTATTTGTAATTTTTTTTGTACTTATTTTTAAATTGCTGGGACTTCATTTTGATGTATATGTGAAATGAGTATCCCAATTAATTTTTTGCTTAGCTTATAGTTTTTATAGCATTATTATGTAAAACATCTTTCATTGTATTAGTGATTTTCAAAAGCTTTTATAAAGTTATATGTCACTGTCACTGTCCTCCCGTTGTTCATCGATTTTGCTTGAGTGGGCCCAGTAACATTGTGAGACTTATTACTGTGTTTGGCATGTTGAATACGTCACGGGGAGCTTGCCAGGTTTTGCCGTGCGAGCACGATACTCCCAGTAGCTTGCCAGGCTCTCTGAGAGGGATGGAGGAATTGAACTCGGGTTGGCCATGTTGACTGTGTGCAAGGCAAACGCCCTACCCGCCTTGCTGTTGCTCCAGCCCATAAAGTTATATATTAAAAAAATTTTAAATGTTTGAGGGGAGGTAGAAATGAGTGCCAGTATCATATGTAATAATTACAATGAAGGAAGATGTCTTATAGAGAAGATATACCAGAATTCAAGAAGAGGCTTTTCATAAGAATAGTCAGTAGTATCAAGTATTTTAATAATTTCACAGTAATATATAAGGAAAATGGAAATAACCTATTGCTCTTGGCCATTAGGAAGCTGTAGGAATTTCATTTAACTTTAACAGGAAGTTTGCAAAAAACATGAAATATTAAAAGTATTTTGAAAAATGTAAATTTTTGATGTCAATATTTACTATGTTTTTACAGAATTCAGAGGTATCTGTGTTTGAAGTCAACATTCGATTTATTGGAGGCCTACTAGCAGCATTTTATCTTTCAGGAGAGGAGGTAAGCAAAAACCAGTAATTCATTGATTTGGGGGAAGTGGTTGTGGATGAAAGGTAATAAATTGAGAGATTTCCCTATCAGCATATTGCTCTTTAAATGGCCTAATATTGAACTCAGGTAAAAGCTTACTAAAAGAACCAGATGCTTAACTAGAACTTTTCCTTGGGAATAATCATTGTCCATTTTGAAAATACCAATAAAACACGAATTTATCACGCATTCTATCTTTTTATAGTCACATCTCTTTTGTAGGTATGATTATTCTCCAGAATTTTGCCATTGCAGTTAAATGTAGTCTGTTGATAGAAATTTTGAAAAAGAACAGTACTCTTCCGACTCATTTCTGGAAGGCTTGGTATAATAGACACAGGCACCTGAAACTAGCAGTGATAGGGGGGTGAATATGAAATATCTCCTTTTGCTAATCAGTTGGTTTAAAGGATGAAGTTGGAAAACAGTAGAGAAGGTAAAGAAAGAAGTTATAATTTTTTTCTGTTTCATTTCTGAGAAACTATTTTTCAATACTTTATTATAATTCCAAATAATTATGAAAGCCCTGCACGGTAGCACTGTACTGTAATCCCGTTGTTCATCGATTTGCTCTAGCGGGCACCAGTAACGTTTCACAACAAATTGTGAGACTAGTTGCTGTGTTTGGCGTATCGAATACACCACAGGTAGCTTGCCAGGCTTGCCATGCAGGCGAGATACTCTCAGTAGCTTGCCCGGCTCTCTGAGAGGGGTAGAGGAACTGAACCTGGGTCAGCTGTGTGCAAGGCAAACGCCCTACCCGCTATGCTCTCATTCCATCCCGTCAAAGCCCTATTTTTAAAAATTAAGTTTTTGTTTTATGTGTTATAAGGACTTCATTGTTTTCTTGGTTTTTTTGGTAGATAACTTTTTCCCCCTTTAATATATTTTTACAAAGTTGTTCATGATTGGGTTTCATTTAATGTTCCAACACCCAGCCCTTCACTAATGTACATTTCCCACCATCATTACCCCCCCCCCCCCACACACACACACACACAGCCTACCTCTGTCGGAAACACTCTCTCGCTCTCGGTCTCTCCCTACCCCAACCCTCCTGCCTGCCACCGTAGGCATTGTGGTGTGCAGTACAGGAACTGAAAGGTTATCGTGTATGTCACTTGACCTCCTTTTAGCACTCAGTTCTCGTCCAGAGCTCTTGTCATTTCCAACTCTCATTACAGTCCCTGTCAAATAATATCAGACAAGGGCCAGAAGTGATCTCTTCTCTACCCTAACTGCACACCCTTCCCCCCAACCCCTCCAGTCTTGATTTGTGGCAAGCTTCCAGCCAAGGACTAATCCTCCTGGCCCTCATTTCTACTACCTTTGGATATTATTCCCATCTTTTCATATCTAACAGATGAGTACGATCATTCAATGTCTGTGCCTTTCCCTCTTAACTCATTTCACTCAGCATGATACTCTTCATGTCCATGTATAAGCAAATTTATGACTTCATTTTTTCTAGTGGCTACATAGTATTTCATTGTGCAGATTTAACCACAGTTTTTTTTTTATGTGTAATCAACTTCTATTTTCAGTTCATCATGGTCTGAAAAGAAAGTTGATACAGTTTTATCCTCTCGATTTTATGGAGCTGTTTTGTGGCCTAGCACGTGCTCTATCTTGGAGAATGTCCCATGTTCACTGGAGAAGAATATGTATTCATCTTTATGGGGATGAAAAGTTTTGTATATCTCCACATGCCCCCTCTTTATTTCTTCCTTCAAAGCCAGTATTTCCTTGATGAGTTTTAGTTTTGTTGATTTATTAAGAGTTGACAAAGTGTGGTGTTGGAGTCTCCAGCTGCTATTGAGTTGCTATCAGTGTCCTCCTTGAAGTCTATTAGTTGTTTGAAATATTTTGCAGTCCCTCAGAGGGTGCATATATCTTGAGAAGTGTGATTGCTTCCTGGTGTACACATCCCTTGATTTTTAAGAAATGACCTTCATTGTATCTTACATTTTTTTTCAGCCTGAAATCTATGACACCTGATACTAGTATGGCCACCCTGACCTTTCTGAGGGAGTTGTTTGCTTGAAGAATTGTTTTCCAACTGTTGACATTGAGTCTGTGTTTGCTCTAATCATTCAAATGTGAAGTTCTTGTAGGCAGAGGAATGTTGGACTAATTTAAATTTTGCCACTCTGTGTCTTTTAACTGGTGCGTTTAGAACATTCACATTAATAGAGATCACTGTCATGGGGTTTTGTGCCATGACATGTGTTTGTGGGGTTTGTCTTATCTTAAAGTAGCCCTTTCAGATTTTCTTTCAAAATTGGTTTTGATCCTATGAAGTTCCTGAGCTTTTGTTTTTCTGTGAAGTTGTATATTATTCCTTTAGATCTGAATGAGATTTTGCCTGGTTATTCTTCGTGAGGCATTTATTTCATTGTTTTTTTTTTTTTCCAACTGTTTCCCACCATTCATTTCTGACCCTTGTTTGATATTATTTGACAGGGACTTGTTCGATAGGTCTGCTGCAAATCTTAGGGATTTTCCTTTGCTTGTCATTTCCTTCTTTGATCTTGCTGCTTTCAGTATTGTATCTATCTATGATATTCCTTATTCTGATTAGAATGTGTCTTGGAGTCTTTTTATTCAGGTCTCTTTTAACTGGTAACCTTCAGGCTTCCTGGATCTGGATGCCTGTGTTCTCCAGCTCAGGGAACTTTTCAACAATGTCTTTGATGGTTGCTTCTTCATCGTGGTTGCTTTCCTGTCCATCTGGGACACTGATGATTCTCTGTGTTGTTTCTCTTGAGTTCATCCCAAAGTTCTCTCGTCAGCCTTTTTTTTTTTTTTTTTTTTGAGGTCTTTTCCATTCTGTTGTTGCCTGGAGTTTTTCTGCATCTCATCTTCTAGCTCAGTGATTCTGTCTTCAGCTGCTGTTACCATAGAGGGCTTCCATTGAGTCTTTCATTTCACCTACCAAAATTTTTTAACTCTTAACATTTCTGCTTGTAGTTTTCTCATTTCTGTCTTCATATTCTCCTGTGTTTTTTTTTCTTTTTATTTTAGAATTCAAAGGAAATTTTTATTTAAGTTATAGTGATTTTTTATTAGTGAATCACGGTGAGGTACAGTTATATACTTAGAAACTTTTGTGCTTGCGTTTCAGTCATACAATGATTGAGTACCCACCAGTGTCCACCAGTGTCCATTCTCCCCCACCAATGATCCCAGTGTCCCTCCCACCATCTCCTGTGTATTTGAGAGGAGGTGGATATTCTTTGTTGAGGTCAGGGCTTCTATCTTTGTCCACTTCCTGTACTGAGGTTCTGAGCTGTTTCATCATGGTGCCTGTGGGGTAGTCTGGAGGTGATTCTTTCTAGTACACTATTGGCATGTTGTATGCTGCTTCCCCCCCCCCACACACACACCTACAATCAGGGAGGACTCTGGGGGAACTGGGTGGATGATGGTCCCATCTTTCCCCTTCAGTGATATTCCCTTCCAGTTTGTTCTGTGTCATTGTGTGAAGCCTCTTGTGCTGATTCATTCTTTGGCCTGAACTTTGTTTAGGGTTCTCTTGTTTCTTGTGCTCACTGCTATTTTTGTAGGTTTTGGGAGAATATTGATTGGAGTAGAGGCAAATAGACTTTGGCTGGTTTAGTCAGGTTGCCCTGGTAAAAGTTCAGTATACGAGGCCAAGATGTGGATCTTATGGGAGGTAGAGGGAGAGATCCACTGGCTGTGGTATGAGCAGCTGTCAACTGGGGAAACCATGCCTCTGGCTGGTCTGACCTGTGGGAGGAGCTAAGTGTCAGTTCCTTTCGCTAGGGTCTGGCCAGTTCACTTGCAGAGTTTAGATCTCTCCAGGTCTTACTGTGTTGCTCAGCAGATTTGAGTCCCACTGGGTCACTTGTAGTTCAGCTGGGCTATTTTCCAGGAGAGGGAGTTTGGATGGGTAACTGCACTGGGCCACCAGCTCAGAAAACTACCAGATACTGGTATCATATTTGCTGATATTTTATTTATATGTATATAAAACGCAAAAATATTTTATTCATTTAAAAATAAAGTAATAAAAATATTTATTTGATGTCATTTATAAAATACCAGATGAATAACATGTATCTTATTTACATATAACTCAGTTAATATGTAACTTTCAGATTTTATGTAACTTGATTGATTATACTGCCATTCTTTTTTTTAATCAAAGCACCAATTTATATGTAATATATATTTTTAAATTTTTATTAGTGAGACACCATGAGGTATAGTTGTAGATGTACAAATTTTTGTGCTTGGGTTTCAGTTATACAATCATCAAATACTCATCCCTCCACCAGTGCCCATTTCCCACCACCACGGATCCCAGTATCCCTCCCACCCTCCAAACCCCCCCATCCCACCCTGCCTCTGTGGCAGGGCATTCCCCCTTGTTCTCTCTCTCCTTTTGGGTGCTGTAGCTTGCAAAAGAGGCATTGAGTGGCAATCATGTTTGGTCCGTAGTCTACTTTCAGCATGCTTCTCTTTTTTTGAAGTTTGTTTATACTATGGCAGGGACGTTTTCAAACCTGTGTGTATCAGAATTACATAAGACATCTGTGAAATTGAAATCTTTCAGTCTTTTCCACAGGACTGTGATTCAGTTGCTTTAATATGGAGATCATTATTTATGTTTTATACTAAGACTCTTTGTTAACTGCCAGTGAGTGTGTGTGTCACTTTTAGTGTAATTTTGATAGCGCTGTTTTTAGTTGCACTTCATATAAGAGCGTTTAAACCTCAGTAACCTCAGTAGGCACCTTGGCACAGTGGACAGCTTCTATCCACACCCTGACTGATCTGTGACCCCTGGTGATCACTGAAAGTAACAATGAGTGAGCACTGCACCAGACGTGTGTAAACCTGACCACAGGTTGCAACATTAACCACAGAACAGTGAAGGGGCAGATAAAGCGAAGGGACTCTTGTTCAAGGTGATTTTAGAAATGATGACCCTGTGTTCTGAGAAA